CTAAGAAAGAGACAATGAAGAATTTTAAAGAAGTTTGTATATCAATTGTTAAGCCATACCGTATATCTGCGATCTTTCCAATCTGTCATATTTTGTCCGAAGGAATCCAAAACATGTATTTCACCTTCATTTGCATTCACGACCGCTAGGTACCAGTGAAAATTTGTAATGTTGATAGGAAGGAAGACCTGCAGTAATAGACATTTATCTAAACTATTTCCTTACATTTGAAAGGGTATAAAATTAGCATATGTGAAATCTTACCATATCAGCATTTAAATAATTTTGTACCCTTGTTTCCACCATGTCCTCTTTTATCTGGCTCTTTTTCATCTCATCTTCCTCTCCCTCTTGTTGTGGTAATTGAGAGAACCACGTATTCTCCAAGTAAACATCTCCACCTTCTCTATGTAGTAGGTGTTCTTCGTGCCGCATCAATTGGATATAAAGACTCATGACCTACAAGTTTTTATTTTGTCATTTCAAGATTGGCATATATTTCCCATGGACATTAGTTAATGCTGAAGCAAGTGTTAAACATGCTTACCGCGCCATTGACTTGCTCATTCCAAAGAAAAAGATAATCCATGTCATCTCTTGCTCCCCAACAATCATCGATTCTGACAAGCAGATGTTTTTTACTTTTTCCTTTCATATATTCAATTACCTCAACATCTTGTTGCGTACACGCATAATCTAGAGAGGTATTATTTTTTATTAATAATTAATTAATTCCCAAATTTAAAGACATATAGGTTTAAATTGATGGTGGATCACCTTGAGGCATGACTTGTACATTGTTTGCTTTCTTTGGCTTATTATACTGAGGCAACACCATCATCTCGCTGAGAACATGTATTGGATTTTTATTGGCTTCTAGCCGTGGCGTTTGTACATCATTATCTTTGTACTTCATTTCCATCCTTTATAATGATCTGCATATGTAATATATAATATCAGTTTTATACGTCATTCTTTTACATTTAGTATGCAATGGGCCATACGGGCAGAAAATATGAGAGGATATTTGAGTTGCTTGAGAGATTCGTGTGCACGCTTCCGCTTCTTGTATCCGTCTTTGGTTTGGACATCTTCATCAGTATAGCCCCGCTCTGGTAGGTGTACTTCTGCAAATATTTTTAAAATAAGTACAGTAACATAGCTATAAATAAATGCCTTATATATATTTTATTAAAAAATTGCATGAGGTTGTTGTGCTAATCTTACTCACCGGAAGTAGGCAATGGATCAGTGTGGATCGTACATGGCCCTCTACTTCCTGGAACATAATTATCATTTCTGTGTAGCCAATCCGTGGGCTCTATGGGCTCATCAGTGTCCACTATGGTTTTAGTCTCCAAAACATCATCTTCACAATTACGAGCGAGAGTAATTATATCAGCATCGTCTTTGTTTTGCATTTGTTGGGTAGAGGCCTCGATTCTTGCATCACTCTCTATAAACTTTTTAATGTCTTCTGTATCCAGATGAGCAAAGAATAATTAAACAATGATTATTGTAACTATGGATAACTGTAGTCTAAAGAGCGTTGAAATAGTCTGTATCCATCTATTTCACCTGGTGTATCCATTTTTTGGTTAGAGGCTGATCGCAATTCCTCCTCTTTAACTATCTGATAATTGCCAACAGGTTCGGTTCTTGCCTCAGTCTCTATATCTTTTTTAGTTTCTTCTGTATCCAGCAGAGCAAATCATAAATTATTTTAATTTTGGAAACCAAACTTATGATTTTGGAATATGATTAATAATGAAAGATAGTCTAAGCTGACTAATATAGTCTACGCTGATGAAATATTCTGTGTATCCATCTATTTCACCTGTTGTATCCACGTTTTGGTTAGAGGCTGATTGCAATTCCTCCTCTGCAGATATCTGATAATTCCCAACATGTTCGGTTGTTGCCTCAGTCTCTATATCTTTCTTAGTATCTTCTGTATCCAGATGAGCAAATCATAAATTAATTTAATATTTGAAACCAAATTTATGATTATGGAAGATGAGTAAAAATGAAATATTATAGTCTAAGCAGACTAAAAGTAATAATCACACATAGTTTAAATACAATGAAATATCGTACAAGCTGACTAAAAAATAGTAATCAAACATAGTTTATTTTATGATGCAAATTTAAAGTAATAATCATAGCATTGATTGAACCTACAGGTTCAAAGATTACATATGGAATTCACCTGAGTCGACGGGCACGGATGTTGGTTCTTCGGGTGCTACCTCACGTGTGAACAAGTTTGGACTAACAACTACCTCAGGCTCCTCCACTAGTTTGTCAACTAAGTCACGATCATGCTCCATTTTCTCGCGTCTGTGACTCCAAAAGAATATGACGATCAGCATACAATACCATTAATCAAGGTTCAGGACCTCCGTTTTGCACAGCAGGAAGGCGAGAGAGTGGGGACCATACCTTGCTTATTGGCACGTCCGTCTGGACAGAGACGGGTCCGACGATGCGTGGACCGCGGCGAGTAGGGCGCGGCTGCGGTCGTCAAGGACTTTTTTGTAGAGTTGATGGTCGCCGCCAGCCGAGAAGTCAAGGTCGTCGTCGTGCTGTTCGCGGCTTCCTCGATGTCATACGTGCGAGGACTCTAGGCCGGCGGTGCGCTGTTCGCTGCTGGCGGTGGGCAGGGCTCGTGTGGGCGATGGGTCGGGAGGTAATGGTGGCGCGTATGGCGGGCGAAGACGCACCGTTGTTGTGGTCGCGGCTAGGGCAGGCGAGGACTCTGGGCGGAGGTCTTTTAAGATGCGATGATCGTGAGCGCTTCAACAAAGGCCGAGAGGCCCAATAGAAGAGAGCCCATTAGGGATGGTGGCCGTGAGTTTGGTGCCTGCGCTGGAGCTGGGCGCATGGTCCGTACCCGGAACAGGAGGTCGCGTTGACGACAGCGGCTGGAATGGCTGGGCGAGGTTGCGGTGCACTGGACAGCGTCGTCGCTGGCGTGGCCGTGCTAAGTGAGGTCGAGGCCTGCGTCGCCGGTGCAGGGTCGACGAGGCCGATGGCAGGGCGAGACCAGAGCTCAGGGCTAGAGTCTTGCTTCTGGGCGGGGGTCGAGGAGCTCCACTCCGGGGATGGCCGACGGCATTGCGTTAAACTTGAGCACGATGCACATGGCTACGGTATAACTCTGCACGTTTGGGCAAGGTTTTGTTTCTGGGGAGCACGTCTTTCTCCTCTGAGTTGTATGTCAATGTGCACAATTATTATTTCAAGAGTTACATGTTTCAAGTTGGCCAAATTGGTAACTATTGGTGCATATATTTCTAGAGAGAGATATGTTTCAAGCGGACAAAATTTTGCCGGTATATTATCAGTGCTTAACTTAATAACAAATGGCTGGACTAATGGCTCCCGTCTCTCACTCTCTCTTGCGCGTATGATGATTATTAAAACTGAAACTATGCACCGGCACATATTGAAACTGTGCACTATGCATCTCTGAATGTAACTTAATATCTGAATACTGTGATTTCTAAATATAACTGAATCTCTGAATCTCTACTAAGAAGGCTAGGATTTCTAAATATAACTGAATCTCTGAATATAACTAAAACTGTGCACCATGCATCTATATAACTGCAAGAAGGCTAGGATTAAAACTATAAGAAGTCTGAATGTCCCTGGCACCATGTATAGATATGCCTGATTGCAAAAATTCCCTCCTAGTGGGTCATCAGCCTCCACTCTTGCATTTCCGTCTGTTGTCAGACCAGCTACAAGAACCGGCCTTTCCTTGGGTTTCCTCACAGCCGTTGCTGGTTGCCGTGACAGACGGGTGGGCGTCCGGCTTCCTTTTTTTCGTCGATGACGGACGGGCGGGCGTCGGACGTGCTTCACGCGCGCGAAGGAATTTTGTTTCCTTTTTTTCGTCAATACGGACGGCGTTTGTTTCCTTTTATACGGACGGGGGTGTTGAAGCCTCCATGATGAGTCTCAAGTTTTCAATTATAGTAGAGATTACAATGCCAAGCAAACAGTCTTCTCTCCCTGGAGTAATCGGTATCTGCAGGATATGAGTTGCATCAATACCCCCTGAAAATAGAACGGATCAGATTAGCATGAACACATTCGATCCCAAGCAAATACTTATGGGCAATGCTACCGTACTCCCTTTTAATCAGTAAGAGATAATAACTCAAATAAATCTGAGCCATGATTTTTAATTTTTTTGAATTAGTTAAATAATTAATTAGTTTAGGAAAGGAAAAAGAAATATTTCCAGATCCACTCTTCACGGGAGAAACAAAATCAGACGCACAGCAGCCCTTCCATGTCGAACGTTTCTTTCGGTTCATGCATTTGGGAATATCATTTGCATGTGGAAACAAAAAGTCACACGCATGAAAAAAAGATCAGCACTTTGTGGTAATAAAATTATATCACTTGCATTTGGAAACAAAAAGTCACACGCATAAGAAAAGATCAGCACTTATGGTAATAAAATTATGTCAAAGTTTTACAAAATAAAAAGATTTACTATATCTTAATTTCCTTCTACCAGCATTTTAAAATGTGACCATTGAACTATTACAACCGCACAAACGGAAAAGAAAAGGAAAAGAAAAATACAGCAAAAACATCAAAAGCTGCATGTTGCATAGTCAAATCCTAAACATCCGGCGCGACAGATCAGATCAAAATTTTCAAGGTCAAATTCTAATTCTTGGAACGCTTTAACTTCCTTCTACCAGCATTTAAAATGTGATGACCACTGAACGATAATACAAAATTGAAAATTTTATTTCAGAATTACTACTACGGCTACGTAAAAGGAAAGGAAACAGTCAAATGCCGAATATCCGCGCCCTTCCCGATAGATTAGATCAGATCACCTGGCTTCCACCCCGTCATTCACCGTGACCATTTCTTCCCCTTCTTAAACCCTCCACAGCTCCACATCCATCGGGCCGCTGGTGTACGTAGTACGACTAGTTCCAATCCTATCTATCATCACACGATCGCCAAGCATGGCGGCGGGCTACGGCGAGGAGCTCCTGGGCAGGGTGTCGGGCATGGTGGCGGAGTGCACCCGGCGTGTGTCGCGCGCGACGCGGCGACTCCTCCGACGCCACCACGGCGCCGGTGGGCAGAGGAGGAGGAAGCACCAGACGACGACGTCGACGGCCGCAGCGGGTTCCGTGGTGGCGGCGGCGCTGTGCGCGCGTGGGGCGGCCATCGACAAGGGGCGGGCGTCAGCGTCGTCGGGCGAAGCGCTGTGGAGCCGGCGGATCTTGATGGGGGAGCGCTGCCAGCCGCTGGACTTCGCGGGCGCCATCCACTACGACAGCTTCGGGCGGCGGCTGGCGCGCCCGCCCATGCCGCGCTCCGCATCCTCCCTCTCCTGCCGCTCCACCTCCGGGTCTGGCCACAGCACCGCCGACGCCGACGTCTCCGACGCGAGCTTCCCGGCCGAGAACGACGACGTCGACTCGCCGTCAAGCTGATGATGATGGCCTTATTTGCTTCTCGTCGTCATGGTCGATGGCAAAATCTAGAATAAAGTGTACGCGCGCGTACTCGATCCATTCGGTTCGTCGTTATTTGCCATGAACATCAGTGCATGCACAAGTGTTTATTACTACAAGTGATCATGATTTGATTTTCTAGCATGGTAATGGCCTCCGGGGGGCAGCACACCTGATGCATCCCACTGTGCAAGAGGGGCAAGTTTTCCCTCGCCCGTCGTCGTCCGTGATTGCTGATTGCCAAACGTGGTGATTCAAGGTTTCATTCCTTAATTAAGTACATGCATGTTTCTAGCTTCAATCACGTGATTTGTGCCCACGTTAAGATGCATGCACGCATGGGATGCGACTGTGTACCCTTGCCGATTGTTTGATTTGACTTTATTTTCCCTCCTGAATCACCAATGCTCCACTCCGGGCGTCCGTACCACGTCCGTAATAGAGCATCTCCAACCGAACCCTCAAATTTTGAACCCCTATCTTTAAAAGTAGGGCTCCCTCATCCAGATTCCATTCCCTACTTAGCTGTGAACTTCATCCGATCCCTCATATTTGCCTCCCTACTTTCTTCCACCTCTATTTTATACATATCTTGTAACTAACAAATCAATCATTTTTAACAGCTATATTTTCAACGTTTATACTTTTGATTAATGGCTACATTCCAATGGCCATTTTTTGTAATGACAATTTTTTCAACGTCTCTTTTTTAGAAGTCCATATTCCAGCAAATTTGTTGCAACGTCTCTATTTCAAATGGCTCTATTTCAAACGAATCTATTTCCAACGGCTCTATTTCGAACGGCTCTATTTCAAATGGCTCTACTCCAAACGGCTATATTCCAACGTCTCCTGATTTTATCTTTATATATGCTTGCACACTCACCTGGTTCATACACCAACTCATTCGTTTTTTGCTCCTTCTCTACTCTGTTGTTCCTTCTCCACCAGAAATGAGTCGTCTCTCTCGCTTAGATTCATCCTCATCTTCGGATGATGATGATGAGCCTGAGCTCATCCTTAGTGCATTACACCAAGCCCACACTCAATATCTAGCTTTGAATAATCCACGTTGGGGAGGTTCTATACCTGGCCGGAACTATATTCATAGAGAAAGAGAAAGTGACCATTTTAGACTCTACAATGACTATTTCTCAGAGCATCCAACCTATGGGGAATCTATATTCCGATGCAAGTTTGCAAATATCTTGGTCAATTCATTTGCCCTCTTTTCTCATGCTCTTTCTATGTGTAAGTTTTTTTATTCTCATTTCTTTGCTCAGGTTTAGAATGGCCCGTCCTCTGTTTCTTCGCATAATGCAAGCTATAGAACAACATGACAATTATTTTGTGCAAAAAAGAGATAGATGTGGACGACTTGGGTTATCATGTTTGCAGAAGGTTACTGCAGCATTGATGATGATCAGTTATGGAGTACCGGCAGATTTTGTGGATCAATATATTCGCATTGGTGAAAGTACGGCCCTAGAGAGTCTTAAAAGGTTTGTTATAGCTGTAGTCGAAGTGTTTGGAGGTGAATACCTAAGATCTCCAAATGAGCATGATACTGCCAGATTACTTGCAATAGGTGAGCGCAGAGGTTTTCCAGGAATGCTTGGTAGCATAGATTGTATGCATTGGCAATGGAAAAACTGCCCTGTGGCATGGCATGGTCAATATACCGGTCATAAGCGTGAGCCCACTATCATCCTTGAAGCTGTTGCTTCCAAAGATCTCTGGATTTGACATGCTTTTTTTGGTTTGCCAGGGTCTCTCAATGATATCAATGTTCTTCACCGTTCACATCTTTTCTCGAAGCTAGCCGAAGGGGAGGCTCCTCAAGTTAATTTTACCATCAATGATCATAATTATACAATGGGGTATTATCTAGCAGATGATATATATCCCAAGTGGGCAACATTTGTGAAGGCCATAACTAATCCGCATGGCAATAAGAGGAAATACTTCGCCAAGGCACAAGAAGCAGTACGGAAGGATGTGGAACGAGCCTTTGGAGTTTTACAAGCTCGTTTTGCCATTGTTCGTGGGCCAGCTCGTAGCTGGGATAAAGAAACACTTACATAAATTATGACAGCTCGTGTCATTATGCATAATATGATAGTCGAAGATAAGCGAAATGAAGAAGACGACTTCCACTACGAGGGTATTGGCCAGGTAGTGAGACCTACACAGCGTGAAGTTCATAATCGCACACATGAGCTACATGAGTTCATGCAAGCTCATCACAATATTAGAAACATGGAAACCCACAACCAGCTTAAGGAGGACCTAATTGAGCATCTTTGGCAACGTCATGCAGACTTGTATTAATCATGTACCATGTACTTTATTGAGGCTTGTAGTCATCATTTTACTATGTAATTTAGCACTATATAATTTATTCAGGCTTGTAATCATGTACTATGTAATTTATTATCGAGGCTTGTACTCATCGTTTTATTAAGCATGCACCATGTATCGTGCCTTCTATTTAAAGACACACATAGCTCATAGTCCACATATAGAGGCAACAAGAATTAAACTTAGTGGTTCGGACATATTGTTCTTACATAGGTCTTACAACAATACTTAAATGACACGATGGTTCACAAATATTGCCCCACACACATAATGCCCCACACATATAGCTGTCATCTCAAAGTACTCCACCACCAAGACGAGCAATGATCTGATCTTGCATTGTCTTGTAGAATATTTGTTGCCGCTCACTCAAAGAACTAAGATCCATATTCATCACTTTCTCATCGTCCTGCCTTTGTTTCAGTTGTAGTTCTCGTTGCTTCAGATCAAGCTTCCTATTCTCTACTTCTTGCTTTAGTTCAAGCCTTCTAGTCTCTACAGCTACTCTTTGATCATTACGCTCTTTTTTCGTAATCTCTCTCAACTCTTCGGCCTTCTCTCTCTTGAGCCACATATTTTCCATTGCTTCCATGTATAGGTTTTCTCCATGAGCGACAAGATTTTTACCTCGATGATCTTTCTCCTTCTTCTTACCAATAGGCCTACCTTTCCTTGGTGAAGTATGGCTGGGACCCTGCTCTTCATCACCAAGATGACTTTCATTGGTTTCAGGAGTACAAGACCTTGGACCTTCCCTGGAAGATGACTTCTATTTTTTTGCAGGTCTTTGGTCAGTCCACTTTTGTTCATGCTGCAATACATTCCAGCAATGCATCAATGAAAACGATCTTTTTTTCTCATCTTTCTCCTTGTACATTTCAAGTGCTTGTTGTATCTACACAATTTAATATGTGTTAGTAACCATGAATGCACATATACATTTCTAACAAATTGAAAGAAAATGCCTCTTACCTCATCTTGTTCAGTCACACCTCTTTGGTTTCTATTTTGAATCGCTGTTAACCATCCACAAAATCTGTTAACACTTTCATTAATGATACCCCAGCGATGAGAGAGAGGACTAATATTACGATCAGATTGAAAATCCTTGTGCTCATGGAAGTAATCATGAATTCGTTGCCAATAGGTAGCACGAGGTTGGTCGACACCTTGAACTGCATCCAAGCTTACTTCTAGCCATGCTTCCACCAACATGTTATCCTCTTTTAAAGTAAATTTTTTTTATCTCTTCTTGCTTCCTTTCGTAGACTGAGAGGCTTGTTCAACAACATTCTGTCCTTCAGGTGAGATACCAAAATAAGACCCCGTGCCACATTGGGCATTTCCATCTTCAGGTGAGATACCAAAATAATCAACCTCGGTGTTTTCCACATTGCTCCCAAAAACATCATCGAAGCTGGGCATTTCCATCTTCCTGTGCCACAGGCCCGTAACAAGTTATGCTATTAATTCTAGTTCCAATTAAGTACTACAACTTACCTGTATAAACAAAATAAAAATATGCAATGCTCTGGCCAACAGAGTCGGTCTTGCCCAGGAGAAGCAATAATCTGCTATCCAAAAAAATATGCAATGTATAAAAATATTCCACTATGATCTTATCAGAATCGCTGTCATCAAGCCTAGGAGAAGCAATAATCTGCTATCCAAAAAATAGTAGCATACAAGCATGTATATTGGGACAAATAAATTTTATGCTTTGTGAGCAGTCTTGTCAGAAAAATAAATAAATATACATGTATATTGGGACATTTAGAAATTAATGACAATGAAGTTGATCAGACCTTGTATACCGATCAATTCTTTACATTACGAAAGGGCTGGGACTTGTTTATCACAACTGACAAGTCCAAGTGCAAAAGACACAGCAACTACAGCTCTAGAGCTGTTAGGTAGGTCAGGGAGCACGATTCAATGAACTGGAAATGAAATGAACTGAAACATAGACAAGAAGAATGGACAACACAAAGTACTACCCCACATTGATCAACACCTGAGGGTTGAAGCAAGATGCCGCAAACTCGCGACCAAAAATGCACTTGTCAATGTCCAGCGATGTAACAAATGCGACCACTCAAATTTAATACTATTAAGTATCTGGGATCCACAAAACAAACATGGCAGGGACGGGCACATGGAAGCCTGAGGTGATGGTCATTACCCCTGAGCGATCAGTTTCATTGAGTAATAAACAGAAAAATAAAGCTATGAGTTTCCAGCTGAGCAAAATAACTAATTTAATGCATGGCTGAAGAAGTAACTTGTTTGCATTTTTCTGTTTTCCAATCCATGAATAAATGCCCTTATAAATCTGTCGAATTTTAAACTGAGAAAATGTTATCCCCGTTCATTTGTAGGTGGTACCAGTATTTAAAACTAAGAAAATGTTATCCCCGTTCCACCCATGGGAACATGGGACAAACTGATGCCATTCCTAGCCCATGTCTGCGAAGGATCCAGATAACTTTGCCTAGTATCAAGGTGGCCACAAATGGTACTGCCGATATTTCAGATGAACGCAAAGTTGTTGGAGATTTCCACAGCAAAAACTAAGGAATGAGCACAGATGAGCTAAATGAATTGCAGCCAGATTGGTG